GGAAGAAAAGCAAAAGCTCAAGCAATAAGCTGTCCYGTTTAGTATCAGGGAGAGGTTGTCCTGGTTGGATTTGAAGTAGTGTCATGATTCCTGATAAACGAGACATCTTTCCTAAGAGCCAAGCAAATAAAGTGCAAGTGGCAGGGGGAGGAGATGGATCCTGCACTGGGGCACTGAGTTGCTGGCATCTCCATGTATTCTGCTCATGGCTTACGGGTTTTGCCACTTCCAAAATGAACTYGTGATGCTGTGTCCTCCCTTGGAGGCAAAGGGATAGGATATAGGTGTTGTTTGGAAGCAGTGTTCCCTGTGGTGGGGAAAGTCCTGAGATTCTCCAAGCCAGTAGCTTTGGTATTAACCAGATGTACCAAACCATCTCTTTGTTTTCAGAGCTGTATGTGTATGTGCATCYATACACGCCCAGAGGGTCTTGTTGAGCCTATCTTTCACCTGGCCTAWACATTGCAATGTCTCTGTTCTCCTGCCATTCTGCTTCTCTTTCTAAAGCCTTGAGGCAAATTTAGGAGTGCGTTGAGTTCAAATGAGGCAAAATCTTGGGGTGTTCTAAACACTGTTACAGACAAAGGCAAATCCTTCGCAGAGTAAGGAGTGATGGTGACAAGTTTTCTGTGGTAATGGTAACAACCTATTTAGTCATCTCAGCACTGTTTTGCACACCAACAAGACATCTTCCTTGGACTGTTTATGGGCTGGTTTATGGGCTAGCAGTGGGTTTATGGGCTAGAAGTGGAGCACTGTGGAGTGATGGGGCTTTCTTTGGTGACTTTGGGCTCTATGAAGTGTTTGCTTACACTCTCATGACTTGAAGTGCTGCAGAAAACAATGGCATAAAATATCCTTAAGTAAGTAACTTAATAAATTTGTTTTGTTGTTTCTCTTAGTTTTCCAGTAGTGACTGGTTATGTAAAGTAGTTGTGCCTGTGGCAAGTTCTCATGGAGACAGTGAAATTGAGTGGTTACGGCTTGTTATGTGAATTAAAAATATTGATGTATCTAGTACTTTGTTACTCTGCCTGTAAAATGATGCCTTGCTCTGTAGTTTGCTTACAAGACAGGTTAGTGCCACCAGGTCCCGGAAGGGACAAATAGGCACTGTTTTATTTCTTCCAATAATGATGTCATCCTGACTGCCACACCTAAACTTCTTACCTTTCAGCTGCAAGACAGGGAAAGCAATGCACGGGTTGGAAGCTTTTAACTTCTCAATGACTGACACTGAGACTGACACTTTATTGCAGTTTCTGCTTCGGAGATTTAATTGCTCCTAACTCAAACSCGAGACATAAAGATAAACATCTTGACAGCTCACACAATAGGTCCATTGACTGATAACATCGCTGCCTGGGTGTTTGTACCCAGTGTCTCGTCTCGGAATCCAGACACATTTTTAAAAGTCAGTCCTACAGGCTTGTGGCTTTGCTGCTGCAGAGTGTTTTCCTAACCAGGCAGTGTCTCCTAAGTTCWGAACAGTAACTCCCAAGGCTGAGCTGTGAGGAGAGGTGAAGAATCTGAGGGGAAGTCATRGTAAACAGAGATATGGTATATGGGGTGGCTTCTTTTCTGAGCTGTCTTGAAGATGTAGCTCAGGTGCTTGTAGGGTGGCTTAGCCCTGCTGCTACAGGGGTTCTGGGGCCTACTGCTATTATGGTATCCATGAGAGCTACTGGGGATTCTCCACAGCAGGTAACCACATGCTCCTGGCCCATTCTTGTTGCCCTGCAGGGAGCTGCTGCTGACAGGCCTGCAGTGCCTGGACCACAGCAGAACCCCATGCTGGGTTTAGTGCAGGTGACACCTTGCATGCTTTGCAGCTGCACTGTTTGCATGTGTAGCTCCCCACCTGAGAAGTTCAAGAGCATACTTGCAGTGCTTGCCCTTTCCATACACAGTATATGGCAATAGCRTGGCAGAGAGGACGGTCTGGTCACTCCAGCACAAGGGCCAGTGCTTCCTCTTTCCCCAAGCTGGCTTGGTGCCATCAGCAAGGGCTGTGGAAACAGTGTAATACAGTGTATGAGGCTTTTCCTTTGAATTACCTTTGAATTTCCTTCCTTGCCACCCTCACCGTGTGATGTGGGAGGAGATGAGGTGTGGAAAAGAGGCATGGAGTGCCAATTGTTTTGCAGTCCTGCTTCTCCCTCTTTTCCATCCTGCAAACTTGCAGTGCCATCTCTCCTTAAGGCCTGCAGTCAGGGTGTTCTGGCCCTGCCTGCTGTTGTCTCAAGTGTTGCCACCGCTCACTGGTGGACTGAAGATGGGAAAAGCTCCTCTGGTGAGTTTCTTGTGAGATTTAAAAGATAGTTCAACTTGGGGATGAGGGGAAACAAAGGGTTGGACACCRGACCTGAAGGATCTGTGTCAGTGCCATCCATCAGGCTGTATTCAGCCCGATCTAAAGAGCAGTAATTGCCTTKGAGGAAGCATCCACAGAATTCACTTGTGAAAACTCCTGTGCATGGGTGGAATGAGGTCTTTCCTACTGCACTGACAGGCTGCTGGTGGATGTGCTTCTCTAACTGTAATTATGGTTTCTTACTATATGCCTTTCCACAGTCCTGTATCCCAATACAATGCTGAGTTGGAATGAACATGCCCTACACTGACYCTATAAAACTGATTTCAGGGTCTTAAACTTGTGCTTAAAATACCCCCTTCATTTTTTTTTTTTCTAAGAAAGAGAGAAAGAACAGGTCTAAAAACCTGGTTATAGTCTTATCTGTTGAACACATCAAGGTATCTAATAATTTCTCGGAGGCAGCTCTTAACACATAATGCTCAATTGTCTAATGAGTGAAAAATGAGTAATTTATTAAAATTAATTGGTATTTCAATTAAAATGTATTCTGTAAAAATTCAGTCCAAGATTTCAGCAGCCCTAAAGCAACCTTAGCAAATGATCTAGTTTGACTCTGAATCTGAGTGCAGATGGTGTTTGTACCCTTTGTCCATCTTTTCTCCTTCTCCAACTAGAGATTCTTTTTACCCAGTATAAGGTAACCTTTTTCCCTCCACCAGAAAGTCTTAATCTGAATCTACAACTACCAGGATTCCAAAGTCTTAATGACAAAAAACTTCAGGTAGTATCAGCACGATTATATTTTTTAGAATTTGTTCTTTAGGGAGGTTTTTTGGAGTTTGTTTGGTTTCTTTTTTTTTGTGTGGCTAGTTTTTTGGTGGTGGTTTTTTTTGTTTTTTTTTTTGAGATTCCATTAAGGAATTTGACTTCTCAGGAGGAACTTTGTGACTATCCAAGCACTTTGCATTGATTCAAAGTTATGTAAAACTTGAGGTTCCCATAATTACTAGTTAACTAAAATAAAAAATAATTTGCCCTGTATATTAGTAGGAAACCGTTTTATAGTGTGAGAGAAATCCTTTTTCCTCTAGTCTGGTGTGTTTTTGACCACCCAGGCAGAACTTTATTAGCTGAGGGCAGGTATTGCCTTCAGGGGCATTCACTGCGTGGGTGGTCAATCTTTGATTTAGGAAAATCAGTTTGTGAAGTTATCATGTTCAAGCTCCTTTGTCTTAATTTTTGCCATATTAGTACTTTGGGACATGGTAGAGCTTTTCGTCGTTCTTTTTTTGTTTGTTTTATCTCTGCTCATGTGCAGGAGTGGACAAAAGTGTTGTTTGCAACTGTGGTGGGTGATTTTTTTCATGTCTCTACTTCTGTGACTTTGCCTGAGGRGTATCTAAATTTACATAAAGCTGATATGATCCCTGAGGGAAGGGAAGAACCCACATGTGTTGTGGGCCTCTTCTCCCTGCATAGCTACTGACATCTTCAAGTGCAGCAGGTACCTGGCTGGGCTGGAGCAGTATGTGCCTCTTCCTTTAAACAGAGACTGGAAAAAGACAATWGTGTGTTTCTTTTTGGTTGCCTCTTTCATGAGTGTGCAGGCTGGAACTAATGGGTTTCCTGACAGTCTGAAATAGTGTGACAAAAAAAAATTAGAAGATCTGTGTTTTAAAGCCACATTCTGAGCTTTCCTTAGAAAGGTGTGGCAGGTGGTAAATACCCCCAAAATAGTGTCTTGACTTTGATTTCCATTCCATYCTCTTACTGTCAGAAAGATTACATTGATCCCTCCACGGGATCATATTTTATTTATCATCCTCTGTCTGTGCTGAATTCTGGCTCCAACAATTTACAGGAGTTCTCATCAGTGAGGAAAAAGTAGGTCATCCAAGCACAGTTGGGCTGGGTTTGGGGGGAACTGCTTTTGTTGTAATGTTTTGGTGAGTATGAAATCTCTTTGGTGCTTGTCAGTCAGTCTCACCAGCACATCTGGCCATCTGTATGCAGTGGCTTGTGTGGCATCACTTCTGYCAGAACTGTGGGAGAGCATCTGTCCCTCTGGGAATGTACTGTGGTGTGAACATAGTGTGGTGAAACTCCTTGTCCCTCAGAGGATGGGCAGATCTGTTCTGCCTATACTTACCTGATAAAGTTAGCTGGCTGTTCCCAGCGCAAATCAGCCATTGTGGCTTTGTCCAACCAGCTGTGAATACTGCTGTGGTCCCACATGGAGCTTTAGGCACTGGCTAGAGCTGGGTTGGGAAGGCAGTACTGAGAGAGCCTGGGGAGATTGCTGTGATGAATGTGGTATTCCAAACCAATGGGGATGTGGGCAGTGGAGGCTCGGTTCTACTTCAGGCTTCCTGTGCTCTAAGCCTATGCTTTAGGAAGTTGTGTTGCATCTTCAGGACTTAATAGCAGAGGACATTCACTGTTCATTAGTCACAAACACCTGGGGTTTGGTCTGAATTACTCTGAAGAGAAATGTTTTCTTTAAAACCAGAATATGTGGAAGCCGAGTCTTTACCTAACCTACAAAAATATTGCTGGTGTGGACAGCTCTGAGGAGTTTGCACAAAGCCAAAATCCTGCCACAGACTTTATGCTAAATGCCCACTTTCCTCTTAATCTCAGGGTTCTGTTTCAAGTTCCCAAATCTGAATTAACTCTCTTCCAGCAAAGTCAAGCCCAGAAGAAAAATCAACCTGACCTCTTTCAGAGCTCTGTTGAGTCCCAGAGAACAGGACAGAGGACTCTCTCCAGCCAGAACACTCCTTAGGGTAAAGGTGAGTAGCARCAATAGGGATTTGAATGGAACAGAGGAAAATGCAAAGCAGCAAAGGCTAAGTCTGTGTTGTAACTGCTAGTCTGACATAATTCCATGGAAAGAAGAGCTCATGGTTAAGAGGCTTCCTTAAGCCTCAGTGTGGGCTGTTGTGTGTTTCAGACATATTTGAGATTGTGTTTTGGTCTTCTGAGAGCCTTTGAGAAGTTGGGAGATTGGTGTCCCTTGAAATATGGTTGTGGTCTGCTTCAGAGTTGAATTTACTTCTGTTTTCACTTCCTGCCTCTATCCCACCAAGATACTTAGTTATTTAAAACACAGGTGTGAGGGGTTGTTACTGTGAAACAGGGTCATTTATCACTAGCCCAGGTCTTTGATGGTTAGAAGGCCTTTTGTTTGGGTTCCTTAGTGCTTGCAGCCCATTTTTGTTTAGAAGGTGCCTKTGTAACAACCAGGTTATTGCCCTGGGTCAAGGAGACTTGGTGGGGAGGTAGTGCCCACTTTCAGCCAAGTCCTGCTCCTCAGGGGTTGAACCAGACACTTCTATGTGCAGCACTTCTATGTTATGTCTAAGAAGGTTCTGACCCACCTGTCAGCTGCTCCTGGCAGAATGAGGAGGGAGCACTGTGCTCCTACATCTCCCCTTTGTTAGGGAGGGAGGGAGGCTCCCCTGTGCCCCATGCTCTGCCCTCCCTKTGTACCTCTTCTCTTGAGCACTACCCAGCCACAAGACAGGCTGGGCTGTCAGCCCTGAGCACGCAGGATGGGAACACAGGAGCTGGTGGCATCTGTCCTAGTTCTCCTTCCAAGCTGGCCTCCCTGGAAGCTCAGCAGAGTTGCACTTGTGTGACTGGAAGTCTTTGTTAGCACTTGATCCAACCTTCACCCATCACAGATATTGTTTGGAAAGTATTGAAATGAGCCTTAGTATGCATGTGGATCTCTTGCATGGAGGGTGGGGGGAGGCACCCTCGAGGCCCTGCAGATGTGTAGCAATGTCAGCTGGTGTTTCACTTCAGCAGATGCTGCTGTGCATGCAGCTCACCTGCTCTCAGAAGGTGCTCAGGAGTTCCTCTCTGATAGCCCTGCTCTCCATTCCGACCTCTGGCACCATGGAGGATTATCCCTTCCTTCCCCAACACCAGCTCTTGGCTTTAAAGCCCCATTTGTAGGTTATGTCACTCCACTGTCTGGCACATGTCTGTGGCAGGAAGGAGTTTTGTGCCACTCATTCACATGAACAGGATCCTTCTTACTGAGACAGGTGTGGTTCTCTCAGCCCTTTTTCATGACTGATGGTGTATGATGGTCAGCTCTCTCCAGAAATAGGGATATCCATCACTAAAAGGGTTATTTTCTGTGAGACACAGCCAGACACGAGTACTGCTGCAAGATGAGGATTTATGGGGATTTGTTTTACTTTCATACTTTTCTTTCTTACTGTTTCACAGGACGAAGACTTCTGGTCTGAAGCAGAGGGTGACACGAGCTGCTCTGTCCCTGAATCCATCATGGAACAGGTTAGAGTCACAAAYATCTGGAGTCAGCTGTCCACAGTGTACAGTGGTTCTCTGGTGCACTTGTTCTGAGCTACTGTGAAGGGGATAAGTCTCAGTATTGGCTGGTGTCCTTCTGGAATTTCCCAGAACTGCAGGATTGCTGGTACTGCTCTGAACAGAGAGAAATGGGTGGAACCAATTAGGTTGCAAGCTGCTTCCTTGTTATCCCTTAGTGTTATATCTCTTTCCCTTGGAGCTGCAGGCTGGAGATGTAGCTATATCAGAGACTACAATGTTTATTGATAAAGCAAGAAGCTGCTAAATTTAATAAATGAATAGGCACAGCCCTGTGATCAATGTATTGCACTGGTTTGTGCAATGTTAAGCACAATGATGATGCTGTTATTTAGCACACTTAAATCTTATACACTGAACTATTATTAAAATGTCTGTCATCCTCCCCCAGCCCAGTTCACATTAAGACACAATTCTAACCSTCTACTCTGCCCTCTCACAAGCCTTTTGAACATAATATGATAAAAAATTTATCAGTGATAAACCCAATGACAGTGCAGTGGGTTGTTGAAGGTGATTGCCACTGGTTCCCCAGTGAGCTTGGGTCACCAGCTGATCTGCACTACTGACTGTAAACATCCATGCTCGGGTCATGGAAGATGTGCCTCCTGTTCATCTCTGACCGATCATATACCTTATTTTCCATTTGTTTCTGTTTTTGAACTCTGCCTTTTGTCGGCTTTGTTCCTTTTTTTTGTCTGACAGGGGAGACATGGCTATTAGATGGCCTTGCAAGGTTCCACTCCCCAAAACTCCCTTTCAGTTAGCAAGTTCATCATGGTTTCATATCATTGGCATAACAAACCATTCTTCTTTAACTATTTTTTTCTCCCTAGATAAAGTTAAACCTAAATATTTTCTTACAGACAGACTATCTGCATACCAGAGTCAGGATTTTCTTTCTCACTTTATTTCTGTGGTTATACCACATTCTGCTCTCTTTGCTGTTTAGCTAAAATCAGTGGAGAAGATCAGTGGAGAGTCTCCTGGTTTTCTGGAGGGCTTAGCTGGTTATGAGACCTGGTATTCCAGTGGGSCCTCTTGCTCCCATCAGCCTGCCTGCCTTATGGATCTCCTCAACCTATTTAATTTGGGCACTCTGTGGTGCCTTGCTTTGAGGCTGCAGGTTGTGTGGCCATGGAGACAGCACGTGCTCATTTACTGGGGGTGAATATGCCACTGGGGCTCACAGTGATCTGCCATCTCATGTCACTTTTCTTGTGAGCAGCTGCTTGGCTCTCTGTGAGGAGCTGAACAAGTTTGTCATGGAGCTGGTTGAGGTTCCTTTGAAGAGGGGGAAGAAATGTGAACCTTGGAGGTTTTTGGAGGCTTATGCTCTTATCTCTGTTTCCCACCTTGTTACTGCTCTGCTCTGATTACATTCATGTGGGGAGCTGCTGCCTTCTTTATACATTCTAGTAAATAGAATGCCCAATTCCCAAATACATCGGTAAAACCCTTCTAAACACAGATGTCTAAGTAAGGGAAATGGATGKTTTTTGCTGAATATGCAGCTGTTTCAAAAGAGGAGCTCTGACCAGGGTTGCTGCCATTGCAACAGCTGGAAATGTGAGGAGAAGGAGAGCTGGTTGATCCACCATCACTTTGTAAGAGCAGAACCTTTTGTCATTCACTGTGGGACAGTACTATGTGGGTGCACATCCAGGAGTCAGTCTGCATTTGCTGAAGGCTCATGGAGCCCTTGGCTGATGCTGTTCAGGGTGCCCAAAGGAGGCCACAGAGAGTATTCGGGGTTGGAAAACAGCACATGTGTAGGTGCTTTGAGAGGGACATTTTCTAGGCATGGGCATAACAGTGATTTCCTTATGTTTCAGATGGATGGATCTCTCCAGATGGAGCATGCACTGCTGTTCACCTTCCTGGAGGCATCCTCTGACTGTAAGTTCAGAGACCAGCTGCATTCCCTGCAAAGCCAGCAGATTCTGTTGTGCCAAGAAAATGATGACGATGAGCTTCAGACTGATGGCAATCGGAGCGGCCACTTTCAGAATGGAGAGCTAGGTGAGCAGGCTTTTCTCCATCCTATATGTCTCTCTCAACATGATGTTTTTCTTTCCTCATTTTCCATTTATGCTCTTGCCTATTTCAGAGGGGTAATGTTTTCTCTGCTGAGAAACTTCACTGTGTGGCTGTTGGTAGTGATGTTGGTTGGGAGTTTAACACTTAGGTTAAGGTAACTGGTGCTTAGTGCTTTATCTCTCCTGGGATTTCTAGTGCACCTGCCACTGGGGTTTTGTCTGCAGCACATCAAACAAGGGCATGAAGTTGGTATTGGTGGTAGCTGCCCTCAAAGAGTGTGATACTAAGCAGTTAAGTAAGGCCTCACTCTGCTCTTTGGGCAGTATCAGTACTTGGGCTAAGATCTTGGAAAAACTCAAGTTTAATCCTGGGTGAATCCCCTTTTGCTCTGCCAGTGTGGTGGAAACTTTCTTAAATGGCTTTTGGTCCTGTTACTGCTTCACTAGCCATCTGCAGGATGGCAACTGCCCCTTGCCCAGAGTGTGTCAGCTGACACATTGACCTAAACTGAAACAGGGTGAGGAGGAACTGCTACAGTAAATGGCCCTCTCTCATACAAATCTCAGGTCTCGTGCCAAAATTGWTCATGGGAAGCTTTGCCAAATGGACGTTGGACAAAGTGTAAGATTCTAAACTGAAAAAGGACAAAATAGATGGAAGGAACATTTTGACAATGAAGGTGGTGAAACAATGGCACAAGTTGCCCAAAGAGGTAATGGATGCKCTATCCCTGGAAATATTCATGGTCATGTTGGCTGGGGCTCTGAGCAATCCAGTCTAGTTGCAGTTGTCCCTGCTTATTGCAGGGAGTTTGGATTAGATGGCTTTCAAGGTCCCTTCCAACTCAAACTGTTGTATGCGAGGCTGTATTTTAGATGGCACTTTGAGACAAGTCCTGTCATGAATATACTGTGGTTRGGATGGGAAGGAGGTTGCTAATGGACATTAGCAAAATGCTGTGGATCAGCTCACCTGCACTGAACCTGGTCTGACTACAGCCTGCGAACTAAATTCTGCTCTTTGTGTTGCAGGGTTGGTTCCAACAAATGAAGATGTTATCCGCATCATTGCAGCTCAGCTCGCTGAGATTGGAGACCAGCTTGATAAAGAAATTCAAGGAAGAGTAGTAAATGACCTAGTGCAGCACTTTCTAAATGAGAGTTTGTCTAGAGAGGTGAGTGAAAACCAATGGGATGAGCAGTTCCTCTTTTAAATGTTCTGCAACCTTCCTGCTGTGACTTTGAAGACATCTTAAAATTCAACCAGAACGCTTACCTTTGAAGATTGTTAGAGGTGATTCTGTGGCCTGTGGCAGAAGTTAATTGTAAATTGGGTTCCTTGGGCTCATCTCCTTTCTGCAGATGGTGAAAAGGTGGTTGTGGAAAAGGACTGACTTTCAGAGGCGTTTTATCCTTTTGATGGCCCAATGGCTAATCTTGGAAAATGAACTGTGTGGGTAAGGCTTAGTGTTAGTACTTAGGATCTTTGGACTTTGGTGGCAAGTCACCAGGGCAAAAATTGAGCAGGTTAGTGACAGGAGCTAAACTTGTGCATGTTACTGAGCACAGAAGAGACAGCAAGTCACAAGACCCTTTGCTGGTGCTATGTGTTCATAGCAGTGGGTTTTGGCCTGGCTGGGTGACCTGCTGGGGTGACYTCTGTAGGTGATCTCTTTCTGGGTGCAGTTGGCCCAGCATCTAATGTGTCTTGCTGCTGTGCAAGAAAAGTAGAGTTTGAGRTCTCTTGTATTAAAAAAGAAGGACMTCTAAGGGTTAGACCCACATCTCTATCAAGTGCCATAGCTTTTTCGGATTTGTTTGTTTTATGTAACAGGCTGGCTGCCATGGCTGGGAGGAAGGGGAGCAGCATCCTGTGGAGTGTTAGAACAAGCACATCAGTTACTGTGCTGGTTTGGAAGGAAACCAGCAGAGAAATTAACACCACAAAAATATGTTGCAAGAGATTCTAAGTCAGAACTACAATTTAATAGGAAAATTAAAATCAAGACAATAGTACAAAAACAGCTGCTTAAACTGGCAAACGTCAGAGTACAACCTGCCACTCTGTTGGTCAGGGTGGTGATAGTAGTCCAATTAAATGGTGACTACAGCTACGTTGGAGTGATGAATGTGGTCTTGTTGAAGCAGTGATCCTGTAGAAATGTCTGGTCTGTCTCTGGAGGTCCAGTGGTGGTTCTCGAGCTCTTGTCCTCTGGGAATCCAGTGGTAGTGCCCCTGAGGCATTCCAAGCCTCAGATTATATGCAGGTAGGAATGTTYGGTTCCTCCTCTCAGGGGTGGGGCATCTCACAGGGGGATGATTTAATTCTAGGGGTCATCCCAGGAGACCTTGATGGTCCCTTAGCAGAATGGCCTCCCACAGAGTGGCTGCTGCTTCCCTGGAGAGTGTTACCAGGGCTCTGTGAGAGATACCAGRGTGATACCAGGGCTCTCTCCGAGTCACAGAGAGATAAAGAGCACTAGCCCATCTATCTTATGCAGATGGTAGTAGAATAGATACTTTTGGTTACACCTTCTGTGTAACCCGAGACAGTACTAGCACAGGCCTGGCAGGTTGTGTTGAGACCCCTTTCTGCCACAGGTGTTGTACTGAGATCCCTCTCTTCCTTCCATACAGGAGATAACCAGGCACATGTCCAGGGTAGTGAGAGAGCTTACAAGATCCATTCCCTCAGACATGGAACAGGAGAAGGCCATGTTAGTGCTAGCAATGGTGTTGACTAAGAAAATTGTGAATACAGTGCCCTCCCTTCTACACCGTGTCTTTAACACCACTGTGAACTACATGAACCAACAGCTCCACAACTACGTTGCTGAAATGGTGAGTGCTATCAGACAGCTCTCTGGGAGTCACAGGCAACTTTTTAGCTGTGCTGGGTTATCCCCAGAGGGTTGGCCTAGCCTGTGGCCTTCTGGTTTCCATGTAGTGCCCTGGAGGTTAGGCCAGAAAGGAATATTGGTCCCTGAAGGGCTCTGAAGATATGTGTTTGAGGGGGACATATCWCAGCTTTTGCTTGCCCCCCCTCTCACAGCAGCCCATGAACAGAGTGCATTTGTTCTGTAGGGCAGAGAGAGCTGGGACTGCTTCTCTCCTCCCTGCAGTCTCCTCAGGGAGCTGTGCCAATAAGACTCTGGGTAATCATTTCCTCAGGGATGGATAACTTGACCTGAGCTCTGATGGCTGTGTTTCCTCAATGTCTTCACTCTGAGACCTGTGCTCCTGTCTTTCTCAAATCCCCAGAGCCTGGGAGAACTGGAAAGGGAAAGAAATTGCCCCTGAGAATTAACGCTAGCAAAGGAACAAYGAGAAAATAGCAAATCCGTTCTTATTTTCTGTTGGAGCATGAGCACAGGGGAGGCTGTGCAGCTCACGGGCAAGCCAGGCTAGAGGTCAAGGCATTTGGCTCTGGCTTCAGTAACTAACGAGTCTGGGGAGGGGAGAGGATGCACACTCTGGTGTTAAGACTTAGTGATCCTCAAGAATGAGATCTGAGTGAGCAGGGCTGTGATCCTGCCACCCTGTGAAGCAGTGGTGATGCACTTGTGCTGTGCTGCAGGCCTGTGGGATATTCCTGCAGTGCAGCCTTGCCGTGGAGAGTTGGCAGCAATCTGCAGAGGGGCCCAGCTCACGCTGTTGCTTTACCTCCCCTAGCACCCTGGTCATGGTGTCACTGTGCCATGTCACTCAGCACTGCCCTTTCCTTCACTCAGTTTACCTCCAGGATGCTGAGTTATCCCAGAAATGGGTCACTCATGTGAGACTGGCCCTTACTACTGCCCTAGCTGGCTCACAGCACCAAGGGCAGGGAGAAGGCTAAAGCTGGGCACCAGGGGCTGTCCCACATTGTTCCATTGGGATGTGTCCCTGCTACTGGCACAGGAAGGACATACGGCAGGTGGCAGTATTGACACGCAGTTCGCCGCGCTGGAGCAGCCGGCCTCGTGGACGGGGTGGGTGGGCAGGCACAGGGCACGGCTTGTGGTGGGGGAACTGTGCTGCTGTTAATAATGCCTCTTCTGTTTCTCTCCCTCTAGCTACGTGAGTGAGCTCTCCAGCCCTGTGTGGAGAATGTGGATTCCTGAAGATTTTCCTTGATGTATGAAGATCMTTTATTTGATTTGCTTTTAACTTCTGAGATACAGCTGTGAAAGGGATGGCAGAGCTTCATAGATAGGCTTTTGTAGACTAGCACAGCAGTAATAGTAGTGTGAGGTGCCTGGCAGCTCTGCCAGTACCTGTAGGGAGTAGTAGTGTTTGCCCTCTCTTTTACAATATTTTTTTATCTTAGCAGCAGCAGACTTTATGCAGAGCCTGCCTTGTGCTTCCAGAGGCCCGGTGGGCACAGGGCCTGCCTTCTCAGTGTTTTTTTCTAAGCAGCAATAGCATTTTGCTTTAGTGATTTGCTTTCCAGCCCTGCCTCCTGCAGCTGAGCCATGCTGAGTGTTGTTCCCAGGGAGGCCTCAGGCTGTGGAATGGGTGGTTGGTCAGCAGAGATCATCAAGGGGTATGGGGGGCAATCAGGTCTATCTTGATGGGSAACTGGCAGCAAGAGGGAAGAGCCCTGAGGTGTGGAGGGGTGTGTGGCTGAAATGAAGATACTTCAGTATCAGTCRCCATACACCTCTGTTAGCTTGAAAAATAGAACTGACAAAAAAACTGCAAAGAAGAAGGGAGGTTAGGCACAGGGCAAGTATTTTTGGGAATGCAACCTGGATATGCTTCATAAAAGTGGTATGTCTTGTAGTCACATCTCAGGTTGAACATACTTGGACTCAGGTTGTTTGATACATACTTATAATCACACAAGGTAGCAAATGCATCACCTGTGATCCTTAGGATTTTTCAAAGTATGTAAATATTTTGTGGGGTTTTTTAATTTAAATAAAAATGTCATATGTGATGGCTACTACAGTTCTSTAGAGTTTTAGTTTCCACCTGGAAATTTTTTTGTGCAAGTACTCATGACATTCTTCTAATTCACTGTAGGTTATGATGCAGCTGGCAGCAGCAAAGACACTGTGGTCCCTGTGCATAAGCAAGTTTAATGCAAGTAAAACCATGTTTTCTTTTGGTGCCTGCACTAAAACAGGGGGAGAGGGGAAGCATGGAAGTAGTCTACACATTGCTTTTGAAAACTGTACCATTTATTAAAGTGCAGCCTGGGGGCATGATCTTACAGCAGTGTCCCATTAGCAGAGGGAAAAAATGTACATATCCCTTCACTTGAACCAAATACAGACCAATGAAGCTGGAAAGAACTTTCTTGTCAAGATGGAAACACTTTTATTAACCAAATGGCACAAGAAGCTTTAGATAATTTTCCCCAAGAGGGCTGCACTTGCATATTGGAAGGAACAGTATGACGAGTTCCTGGGATATTGGGCAGCCTGAGGATCAGTCTCTTCCCCCAGGAAGGCCTCTGGAGAACAGAATCCAAAATCCCTGCAAGTCTGTCACTATTTGCTTACACCCAGCAGAAACTTAGCAGAAGACATCCCCTAACCTGCGGTCCCAGAGATAGTCCCATTAGTCTTTGTTACTTAACAAATCAAGTGGCATTCTTTTGGTCTGAGTGGGTTTTTAGGGTTACATGTGAATAAAAGCTTATTCTGCAAATTAAAAATGGGGACAGAGCTCCTAAAGATACAGCTGTAAGATGCATCTTCTGCAGCTGGTTGTGTCCACATCTATCGTGTCTGTGTTGGGGATGTTCTTTTATCCCAYACCAYGTTTGKTTTTTGTTTTTGTTTGTGTCTGGGATGSTCGCTGCCTGAACCCTCAACYCTCTCAACTCCCCCAGCGGTCTCAYGATAATTGAGTTTTGTTTGCCTTATTTCTTGGGTTACATGGAAGGTGTAACCAAATTATGTATTCTATTACCATCTCCATAAGCTGGTAAAATCAGTCGGGCAGTGTTCTTCATCCTCCCTGTGACTTGGCCCTTGTAACACCCTCCAGGGAAGCAGCAGCCACTCTGTGGGGGGCCATTCTGCTGASRGACCATCAAGSTCTCCYGGGMTGACTCCTAGAATTACATCATYCCMYTGTGAGATGCCCCACCCCTGAGAGGAGGAACCRAACATTCCTACCTGCATATAATCTGAGGSTTGGAATGCCTCAGGGGCACTACCACTGGATTCCCAGAGGACAAGAGCTCGARAACCACCACTGGACCTCCAGAGACAGACCAGACATTTCTACAGGATCACYRCTTCAACAAGACCACATTCATCACTTTGACGGGWYTGCAGTCATCAYTTCCTGTTGGASAGGTGCCATGGAGGTGCCAGCAAGWGAGTGGTGGCASGAAGTCATGGTGAAGGCCAAGAGGCGAAGCTCCTGGCACAGCCTGTCACCACCAGGCAAGGAACAGTGGCGGCCTGGCAGGGCTGTGCATGGGCAGTTGTGGCGCCAAGTGGCCCCAGCAGAAGAGCCAGTCCATGTGGAGGAGCCACTCCCTGTGAGGCAAGAGGAGCTGCAGCCACAGCCCACAGCACAGTGCCATGAGGGTTAAGCAGGAGCAAGCTGATGACTATCACAAGGAAAACAAGGAGTGGAAGCAGAGACACCCATTAGAGCAGGARCACTGGCGGGACCGGAACAGTGACTGGGACAGGTACAGGGACCACTCAAGACAGAAAAAAGAACCCCAATGACAAAGCAGGTGCTTGTGGCCGTGAGCAGGACATGCAGAACCTGCGGGAACAGCAGGCACAGAGGGAGTTCTGCAACAAAAAGAGGCAAGAGTACTGGCAGGGCACTGAGGGCAGTGGTGACCAGAACCCAAAGCTCTGGCAATCTGAATAAACCCAAAGAAAAAGCTGCTGGGAACAAGAAGCCAAGCTTCAAGCCATCCAGGGTGCTGCTGGAGGACACCAGCACATTCCAGGGTGTGGTGATCAAGTACAGCGAGTTCCTGCTGGTGATGTACATCCAGACAGCGCGTACCTGCTGGGCCGGCACCGCTGCATCGCTGACATCCCCCTGACCACCCTTCGTGCTCCACGCAGCACGCTGTCGACCAGTACCGGCTGGTGGAGACACCCGAGCTGACGGCACCGTRGGCCACAGAGTGCAGCCCTACATCATCGACCTGGGCTTGGAGAATGGCACCTTCTYAACAACCAGTCCATCGAGCCCTGCTGCTACTATGAACTGAAGGAGGATGTGCTCAAGTTTGAGTTCAGCAGCAGGGGGTATGTYCTGCTCCRTGAATCCTCAGATAAATCTGAGGCCACTGCAAAGGATGAGGAYGATGAGGAGGAAGAGTCTGACATGGATGAGGAAGAAGTTGGGGAGGGGCAGAGAAATTCCTTGCAGTTGAAYAGGACTGGGATGTGAACACAAAGCATTGCAGCATTGATGCCTCTTGTTGCCTTAARGTCCTTTTTCTATTGCTACTCTGTTCCCATAGTTTGTCTTGGGGGACTTTGCTCWTTATTCATATTTGATAGTTTTGCATRTAAGAAAATACAGCTCTACTTTYACTTTTCTCCCAACAAGCAGAAGWGCACCTGCACATGAAAACTGGCRCTCAAAATCCTCCMCRGATGTTGCCASACTCTTCCAGTAAACRATGTCAAMTGCAGACAGCATCTGGAAAAWTATTTTTATGACTTGYTTWGTTATAGCCCTTTGAAAATGCTACAAACTGAAATGTTAGAGAGTACCTGATGCACGTTCTGTTCAGTAGTTTGCAAAATTCCTCTGCATGTTGGGAGTTCTGACAATCACTGCTTAAACAGCAGAAATGTGGCAAAATCCCTCATGTATTTCTATGGTTTGGGTATTTAATTTGACTCAATGACTGAGGGATGGGCATTTCACTGGAATTCTGCCTGAAATCACAAGGAAATGTGAAACAAGAGTTAGATAGTTCCTGTAATTTCAGGTGACGAGACTTGACTGCCACTGAGGGCCTCCAGTTTCCTGTTCCCACACATGATGTATACCTCAAGGGGACCTTACCTTGGGGTGAATTGCCCATGACACTGTGTCTGCATCCATATCTGCATTTATATATGTATATAGTTAGGGTAATGCATATATGTATACAGTTATAGATGTGTGCTTTGCAGTTGAGATGTTTTAATTTAGGCATTAACCAGATGGTATGGGATAGGGGGTGGAATGTCTTGGAGATGTYGTTTTATCCCTAACACCTTTGTTTGGTCGCTGCCCCCACTACCCCCACCAACCATTCCTTGCAGGATTTGTGCTCCTGACCTTTCACCAGCCTTGTTGCCCTTCTCTGGACTCTCTCCAGCACCTCAGCATCCTTCCTAAATTGAGGGGCCTGGGGCTGGACACCAGACTGAAGGTGCAGCTTCACCAGTGCTGAGTACAGGGGAAGAAGCACTGCCCTGCTCCTGCTGGCCACACTATTCCTGATACAGGCCAGGATGCCACTGGCCTTCTTGGCCACATGGGCGCACTGCTGGCTCATGTTCCRCTGCTGTCAGTCATACCCCCAGGTCCATTTCTGCCTGGCYACTGTCCAGCCACTGTGTCCCCAACTTGTAACCCTGCAGGGGGTTGTTGTGGCCCAAGTACGGGATCTGGCACRTGGTCTTGTTGAGTCTCACATCGCTGGAATTGGCTCACTGATCCAGCCTGTCCAGGTCCCTCTACAGAGCCCTCCTACCCTCCAGCAGACTTGACACCTGCACCCAACTTGGTGTCATCTACAAATTTGCTAATGGTAGACTCAGTCCCCTCATCCAGATCATCAATAAAGATATTAAACAGGAACTTTTCACTGGGAAACACTTTCTCCCTCTATGCTCCAACATGGGCAGACATAAATAGAGCCTGGAATAGGACATTCCAGGGCATTCTGATGTCCATAGGCATCACAGCTGGGCTAGCCATGTACACCTCTCCACCCCATTCCTCCCATTTCACAACARAAGAATCTAGTAATTACACTGTCAAATTCTGTAACAGGAGCTTKCTCTGGCTTAGTGAATGAGAGACTATGGTACCAGAAGCATTTCTAGTTTTTAGCCAGAACAGCAAGATCTACCTTACAAGGATTTTGCCAGTGCTGCCATACCTCTCTAACAGAAATTAAATATAGGGAAGGTTTATAATGTCAGATTCTTGTATCTGCAAGCACTAAAATGAAAGAAGAACAAACTTCAGAAGCTTGCTTGTTTAGCACTTGTTTAGCACTAATTTGTGACCATTAGAAAGCATTGATTAGTTTAAAAATCCAGTTCAGTGTTAGCCTAGTGATCAGCGCTGTGTGGGAAGGAAGGGAATGGGATTCTGGCAGCAAAACTTCTGTGTAAGAACACTCAGCACTACAGCTTCCACCTGGCCCTTTAGCTGCAGCTGCCTGAACACAGCCCCAGCCCAGACAAAAAATGAAGCCCTYGCAAAGGGTAAGGATGGATTCCTGTAGTACTGATTTCCTCTCCAGAAGGCAAATTAAGAAAGAAAGTGCAAACACCACAATAGGCGCTTCACCTCCAGCCAGAATCTACCAAACCAGGTGCAATACTGAACAGAGACCACTCTTGCTGCAYCACCCAGCTCTGTGTTAGGGGCTTCTCTTCGGACTGGTGAGTACCTGTAGGAGCAGCTGCTTGATGATTCACAGCTCAATGGACAGAAGTCTGCAGAAGTGCTGCTTCCTTCTACTTTGTTGGGTCAGACCTAGTATTTTAGATTTAAGTTATTTTCAGTAGTTTTCAGCAGCCAAATTCCCATCCTGAGAACCTCTACTCAGCATCCACCCAGCCYAATGAGAACCAAAACCTTAAATTTTTAAACTGCTTCTTTCTGTGTGCCCAGTAATATTCCTGTTTGGGGCAGCTGAGCAGCTCAGCACTGCCATGCTACCAACCACTCCACAGCCTGGACCTCCCAAAGCTAAASGGACTCAGGAAGCAGGAACCCACCAGACTCCACCCAGCACACAAGAGCTGCAACAGGCAGGGACATGGCTCTGTGTCTGCACTTTGGGCTTTTGGGAAACAGGAATTCTGGATTTCAGTCTTTGCTCTYAGCCTCTTGTTCCTGCAGTGCCTGCTGAACAAAGTCCTAGCCCAGCTCCCAGCCACAATGCCCAGCCAAGCATAGCTTAGAATTAAGCACWGCTGAATTTAAGTTGCACCTATCTTGAAAACCTTTCCCTTGACAGCTCCTGATTGAGCATGCTGCCCGCCGCAGTTCCTTAATTATTTTCCACATTTTTGATAGATCCAGTCCTCTGCTGTTCTAGCATCTCAGCTTTAGGGTATGCCAAGGATAAAGTGAAGACAGAATGCATCTAAGATAGATATTTTGTTAAGGTACAGGCCACTCGAAGACAGATATTGAGGCACTTATGGGAAGGGGATAAGCAATACAAATGAAAGTAATTCTGTATGTCCTTTTGTAAGTATATAGCTGCTGCCTTCCCTCTACCAGCTACAAGAAATCCACTAAAGAGAGGCTGCATCACACCTTTCACTTTTCAATTGGACCCTGCAGTTAAAGATTACTGTAATATACTTGAAGACAGGAGGGAAGAAAACTTGAGTTTTCTAATACACTTCTCTTAACAGTGCAGCCTCTCACTCAGGTCTGTAAGAACACTGCCATATCTGAGCTTACCCAGGGCCTGTCTCAGCTCTGACCATAGGACTCCAAATAGCAGAATTCAACCCCACAGCTGACCTTTTTAACTAGTSAGGTGTTCCCAGAGGAAAGAGACTCATACAATAAATTTTCTGAACATGTGGTTAGTGGGGTGGGGGAGAAGATGGTACAAATTCTTGCTGACTTGTCAAATCTAAAAGACCCTAGAAGGAGAAAAATACTATTAAGAAAGAACAGAGCAACCAAAATATGGTGTAACTGATGCTCCATTAAATATAGCAATACATCAGATACTCAAGGCTTCTGCCTGACCACAAATATGCCTAACACAGTCATTTATTTKCCTTACTACTGCTGCCACCTTCTCACTGCTGTGTGTGGAAGCTTTTTATTTCATGCCCCATTGGGCTCCTTGTGCCACTAAGTCAGGAACTTCTTCCCCAGCTGGCCTGGATTTATTCTTGTCTGTCCTCTACCCATCTCCACTCTACTACTGAAACAACCACAAGTAGAGAAGAGATGAAGTAACACCAGCCCTGCCTCCAACCTCCCTCCCATTTGTACACAAGTTATCCASAGCGTCCACAGAATCCAACTCTAACCTCCGTGTAACCTGCTGTGTGGCTGGGGTGGATGTATATGTGGGTGGGATATGTACCAATAGTAGCTTCATAATTTTCAGTAAGGAGAGGATGTAGGACAGAATAAGAATAGTTCTCTACCACAGAGAACATGCCCAGTGAAGAATGCAAAGCCATCATCAAAGCAGCAGGAGAGGGGCAGCCCCACCCCGACTGACCATGCAGTAAAGCTGCTTGTGCCACCTCAGAGACTGTACCATTCCTTGATAAACACGACATGTGAAACTAAGCTAAACTGCTCCTGCATGTCTGTGACAGATGGAGCATAAAGAGACCTCTCCTCCATGTGAGGAAAACTCCTGCAAGGGGCCAGGAGAGGGAAATGCCCTGCTGGGAAGGCAGACAACAGAGAGTCCATGGCATGAGGAAGTCCCAGTGACCTGTTCTGGGGACACAGCACAGCAATGAGAACAAGAGGACACCAGAAAATGGCAAAAAAAGTCAATTCCATTTTGCAAGATGATAAAATATTTGGGTTTTTTTATAAGGCCAACCTGCTATGTTTTGTACATGGAAGAAGAGCAGTCAATGATCAACAGTACAGTCCAGAACTCCAGAACTCCCAAGTTCAGTCCACAGTGGCAGTATATACACAACAACACTTTCTCTCAAAATTCAATGTCACACACACAGAGTTCAAAATCCAGTAAGTTTTCTAGAAAATCCATTCCACAAAAGCTTAAACAAAAATAATTCCTCACAATCTAACAAACACATTCTGACTAACTTTCCAGCATCCTGGGATGGGAAAATGCAGCAAGAATATCCTAAAATAGAGAATATGCTAACATCTCTTCATTCTGAGATCYCTTAAGAACCAGGCTCATCAGGAGATGTACTCTTGATAAGATTATTTAGAAATAAAAGTACCTTGTCTTTGTGCTTTGCGAAGAATAAGATTCCCATAAACTCATGTTTCATTTTTTACATTATCACGAGTTCCCGTTCACCTTCCTCCATCTGGTCTAAGCCACAGTGCCACCACCAACCCTCAGAGATACATCCATAATTCTACCTGGGAAGCACAAGTCTTGCCCACGGAGCTGCAGTATGGACAAGGACAGACACACTGAAAGAGGAACGCCTGCAGCTGGGTCCGATTAAGGAGTAGGGCAATACTTGAAAGATTTCTCTCCACACAGACCTGAAGTGTTGTGACTGCAGGAAGGAGTATTTCCTTTTTTTGCTAAAGTAACTTGCTCATCATTTGTGAACCTGTAAGTTTAGCTAATTACAGATTCACAGTCACAAAAGAAATGGTACTGAACACCACTCCAGGCCTGGTCAGGAACAAGCAGATAGAGATGTTTAATGCTCTTTTGCTCAGTTACTAGAATCCATTGCTTTATATATCTGGGATTCTGTCACCAACGAGACCAAGTTAAGACTAAATACACTCTGTGCTTAACTCGGGAAGGACAATGCATACTGCAGTGTGACACAGGACAGCAGAGCGTTTAATGTCTGAATTGCACTTGAGGCACTGGCCTTGCTTCCACACGGTTTTGCTATATTTTTGCTGAATACACCCCAGGTATCAGAGTACTGATCACAATGGCACCGTGTCCAGCATAAATTTGGTACCTCTGGTAACTGAAGGGTTGCAGTGATGTGGGCTGGGCAGGAGCAGAGCAAATGAATTCTCAAACCACCAAACAGCCGTGTTCCTCCCACCCTCCTGGGCAGCACCTCTGCCCCAGGAACATCAGGATGCTCAGAGATAATACAGCTATAGAGAGGCAGCATCTTCACAGGATGGGGCTCAGTAAACGTTAGGGGCCAAAACCAGTGTGAGCCAAGAGGTAAGAATAAGCACTGTCCCACTGGGGCGTAGGAGGAACCTGGAAGGTTATGAGGAGCAGTGCTGTACCTGAGAGGAAGCTGAGACAAAAGGGAGACCAGCCTCTCGCTACAGGACTCAGGTTGGCTAACTTTTGTTAGGAGGGGCTCAGGGCACAACGGGAAGTGACAAGACAGTACAGTTGCAATAGCAGTCAATCTGAGAAGCCAAAAACTCCAGGGGTGGGCAGCAGCTGGCTCTCCCCCTGGGGATTCTCTGTTCCAGTTCCTAGAGTATGAGCACCCCTTCCTTCAGCACCTGCACTTAAATTCTTAAATTTGCAGAATTTATTTTTTTTTAAAAATACCCCCATACTTTAATCACGAAAAACCAGTCCCCGCCCCAATTCTACTAAAAACATGATTGTCCATAGCTGGAGGCTTATTGAACAACCTCACCTCATCACCACTGAGTTACTCAAATGTCCAATTAAACAGCAGGCAGCTCAACCTTTAGGTAACACAACTACAAAAATTGGATGTGCTCTCTTCTCTCCCCCCTCCTCCTCAAGAGAGCTGTTACTTTTTCCTAAGTGCCAATGCTACTCCAACGGCTACAGCCAAGATAGCAACTGCAGCAGCTCCGCCRTACAGCAGTATAGATTTCCCTTCTGGCAATAGGATAGGCTTCTCCTCTGCAGCCGAAGATTTCTCTTCTATTTCTTCCAAATGGCCCTCTTTCCCCCCTTTTTTTTCCCCTGGAATCAGTATTTTCTCAGGTTCTGGTGCAGCCTTTTCTTCTGATGGGGCTAATTTTGGGACAGGTTTACTTAATAGGGGGATTTCAGGTTCAACAAGCTCTTCAGCTGCTTTTCCCTTTTCCTCCTGTTTTGTAYGCAGAAGTGCAGAGGGATGTGCTTTTTCAGCAGCAGCAAATTCAGGAGGTTTCATTTCCTGTAAAGAAGCAGAGGTTTCTGGAAATGCTGCCTGCATGGTCTCTGCAGTGCTGGCTGACACCACTGCTTCCTCAATCCCCTCTGGTATCTCTTCTTTCTCCACGTGAACAATGTCGGAGTTGGAAGAGTTGTTCTCACTCCTCTCTTCACCCCCTCCGTTGCTGTCCAGACTTTTGACTTCTTCAGGATCCATAGCCACTTGCTGCCAGGACTCGGGTCCCAGGGAGACTGGCAGGCTCTCTGTGTGCCAGCTCTGACTCGCCGACAGGGAGACGGGCAGGCTTTCTGACTGCCACGACGTGGTCACCGTGGGGGATTCCGGGGGGCTCACCTGTCCTGAGTTGTCACTGGTCAGGATGTAAATGTCATTGCTGTCCTCTGCAATGAGCCCGGGATACTCTTCCTCTTCAGATTCCAACGTAAAGACTGTTCCCTAYGAACAAAAAGGAGGACACAACACGTGAGCGACAGCTTCAGCATTCCATCCCCTGTACGGGACAGAACAGGACACCTGGAAACTTGGTGAGCTGGAAGAAAGATGAGAGGGCTTCTGCAGGAGCAGCAGCAGCCTGACCTACATTTCAGTAGAGATTACAGAACCCAGCTGGTCCAGCTGGCATTTTCAGAGAATGAAACCTCTTATATGAGCTTTGCTGGGAGCTCCTCCTTTCCCTGACATTACTTTATCACCGATTACATCACCAAAAYACACCACATGGTCATTATTAAACCAACAAGATACTAAAGTCTTGAGACCAAACTGCAACAGAACAAAGAAAAAGAAAGCAAACACGAGTACAGGATTCCAGCTGAATACTGCTCCCTTCTCCCTTCTGTGCAAGTGCTCTCTATTGCTTGTCTATTTTCACCTAACGGTGTTCCTCTTACATTAATTTTATCTCATTTCCAGTGCTACCTGAGGCATGTATTTCTACTTTGTACCACGAAGCTGAAATCTATAGTAATTCTAGGATTTTAGTACCATTTAGGCTATTTTTAAACGAATTCACATTCACCATCAAAACTTTGGCTACACAACTGACGCTGAGACAAACAACCAAGAACAGAAACCAAGAGATGCTGACAAGGTTTCTGCTTGCTTTTTTTTTTRGTTAGAAAAATGTGTGGCCTCATAAAAATCTGACAGTGGGCTTCAGCTGGAGAAACTGCAAGTGTAAAATACTCATTCACTGTATCAGCCCCAATTTATATACTGGGCTTGATGTTCTATGGTTTGGAATATCCTTTTGGCCAGTTTGGCCAGTATTAGCTGCCCTGGCCATGTTCCCTCCCAGCCTCTTGTSTCTCACTGGCAGAGCATGAGACACTGAAAAGTCCTTGATTTAGGGATATCACTACTTAGCAACAACAAAAACATCAGTGTGTTATCAGTGTTACTCTCCTTTTAAATCCAAAACATAGCTCTGTACCAACTGGGAAGAAAATAAGCTCTATTCCAGCTGAAATGAGGACAAAGAGATGGGGGCAGAGAAGTTTCCTAAGTTTCTCCCCAAAGTTTCCTATGCCATATAATAGAAGTCTGTGAAACAGTTAACAAGAATTCAGTAACTTTCTTGCTTGTAACAAAAATTATTTGAACATTCTATCAATTACTGCAGTGCTGGGACCCCCTTCTGTGCAAATTCCTTGTTCAATTATCAAGCTTTCCTGCACAGTCCATCRCAACACAAAATGTCATTAATTCTCTTTCTCCCTGCTCCCTTCCACATGCAATAGTTCTCCTAAAGCACTCTGAGCAGTTGTCTCTTTTTTAAACCCTTCTCAACACCTGTAAATTCAGGGGTTGATTCCTACCTATAGTTTCCCATTCCAAGACATCTCCTTGGTTGTTCCACAACTTTTAATGGATCCACACAATGACCTGTGTCAGGAACTGATCCCAGTTAAAAACATACTTTTTATTCTGTGGAATTAAATTCTGTTTTTAACCCTTGGCCCATGGAATTTTGGAAGAGACTTGGATATGGGCAAAGGAATATTACAGAACACTTGAAAAGAAACTTTTCTTCCTAAATACCTTTAAATTGCTCAGATGTGGGAAACATCATCTAGCTTGGAAAGATGGTCAGAAACTAAAGTGAAACGATGCACAGAATTTCTCAGGGAAAGGGTTAAAAGCAGTTAAGCTGTTCAGTGACCATTTGAGGGTCACCACAAAGTCTTAATTAAGAATTCAGTAAAAATGAGTAAAGCATTGCATTTGTGAAAATGTTCAGACACCACCCACATGCCAAACCCAAAGCAAGCTCTGCTCTGCAAGCAGTCACTGGCAATTCAAGACTATAGTATCATCATGAAAATTTCATCTTTCATTAGAAGAACTATTTTTTTTTAATGCAGCTCAGACCATTAGAACAAAATAGAGCTCTACATGTAGGAGGAAGCAACCGGCATTSCAAATTAAGGGCAATGGAAAAGAAGAGCCAAGAAACTAAGTAAGAGGTTAGTGGATCCAAAGAGACYAAGTATAAGCTATGAGGGCCAGGGCTGCTGTGCAGTGTGGGAGGACAGGACTTCACACACAGCACCAACCTATCCTGTTCCAGCAGGCACTGGAGAGCAGCATAACGGGAGTCAGTCATTGTGGGCAGCTTCCACCACCCTTTGCTGAGGATGGACAGGCAGCCTGCTGCCCACACACTCTAGAGATTGTAACACTCACTCCTTTGACCCTCAGGATTTGCTCTGGATGCTGATTAAGTAGGAAATATTCTCACTGSAATATAAGCCACTAACAGATACCTACAGTCAAAGCCATTTTTTTATTTCCACAAGTGATACAGACTCAGAAAAACAGCAATTAAATAACAAAATAGGGGCAAAACCTGCAATCTCATGAACCTCTGGACTATCCTCTCTGTTCAGCTCTACACTTCCACAAACCAGGATGAATTTATTTCCTGTCCACACCATATCACAACACACTAAACCATGTCTATGGTCTGACATTAGGAGAAGGAACAGGGACACACACCACTGATAACAGCACTACTCTTAACATTCCAATGAAGTGCACCCATGCTGCTGTGACTCACTCAACATGAGGCATAAACAAAATTATTCTGAACTGCTGAGGATTTGTGAGCTCTGGTGATTGTAGCAAGAAAAGCACCAACAAGGGCTACATTCAGACAGCCTGATTTCCCCTGAAGTCACACACTGTTCACTGGTGCAAGCCAAGAGGCTTTGAGCTATGACTCAGCAGCCCACGGAGGGGAGGATGGAGCCACCTGTAGTCAGTGGGGACAGTGGGTACAGGGACTGCCCTGAAATTTAAACCATGCTGATGCTTCTGAATACATATTTTCACTGGAGCTTCACTTCTCACAAAATACACGTAAGATCTGGGCACATCCTGAAGGTAACATGCAGGATAAACTGCTTTGGAGAGGGTAAGGAAATGAAGGGATGGTTATACAAGGAGCATGGGCAATCCTCATCATTTCAAATACTTCATTAATAAATGTACCCACACTACACATGCAGCCTGCCTTCAGCAGGAGGGAGGAGGGCCAAAGGGGCTCAAGAGTTTTATTGTTCCTTTTCTCACGCAAACTGTGCTGACCTCAAAAGAGTTATCAGTTGCTGGCTCCCTATAAATCAGAGCCTTATGCAGCTTGGCTGATTCCTTTCTGTCTTTACAGACAATTTACCTTCCGTGTCAGTGCCTCAGGGACACAACTCCCCAGGCTTGGAGAGACAGATCGCCTGTGGTTGGGAAGGCTGGGCAGAGCTGACACACTGGCAGTGGGTAATTCCAGCACTTTTTCGTTAAAAGCTTATGAAGCTTTAATTGAAAATCCAGACAGTAATAGGCATTATTTAGGATACATGATTAATATTTCTTGAGCTGAATTAAGATTTAATACATAAAGTCAAGCGGATAAAGCTCGGATTTTGTGCCGGTTCAGTTGAGGTTTGCACTTTGGTGGGTTTTTTTCCTTCTAAAGCAGCTGAAATAAAAACTGAATGACATTTAGGACAATTCTCTTGATTCATCTACAGATGTGACCCAGAAGCAAAGCTCCAGCAGCAGATTATTTCAGGACAGGATGGAACATGTGGAAGGATTTTTAATAACCTGAGGCCTTATATAAACCCTATACTTTAGATTTGATAGTAAATAAGGAATGTATGTAAGCATTTCCTTATCTGCTTTGTTTATTGTAAATACACAGTCTACTGCTTCAAACCAGAAAGATCAGAGTTGCTTTTTCATATTTGCAGTGGGAAACTTGCAAATTTGTGAGTGCTTTTCCTCATCCAGCATACTTAGAGAACCATGTCAGGTGTGGTAGGGAATCCTAAGTCCCGCTCTGCAGCTTCCTGCCATTTCTGATCCCAACCACTGCCACTTGAGGGAAGAAGTGGTACAGCTTACGAGGAGACAGAGAACTGCATACTCCCCTACTTAGCTAGAACACTGCAAGAGTGGCCACATCCCATGAGGCAGTCTTCAGGGAAAGATCAGCTTGGTTCTGTTGAGGTGGCATTTGCAGACTTAAAAATCAGAGCTATTGAAATCACTGTCCTCAGCCTATGGGCTTTGACTTGCAGGAATGTTCATCAACACTTTTACAAGTGACAGGAAGCACAATTAACAAATGTGGCACACTTGCCCTCAGGAGAGGCTTTAGCCAGTATGCTACAGGGTGAGCTACACTGGACAAATGCAAACTGGTAATAAAATAATTTAAAAAATGTCTGAAAGTCCACCAATTATATAGTATAGAACTGTTACTTAAAGAACACCTGTCAAGTTTCAAGTTTCTGATTTAAACACTGCAAACATAAAAGAAAAACTAGACACAGAAACTGACTMTTAAAATGTCTATATTATTTTTCATATTTTTCTAGTACGTCTGTTATTAAGTATATGCAAACAAACAGACATTAACTACAATAGTTATATTTGATAAACAGAAAAACCTTTAACTATACATAAGAAAARGGATCCTTAGTTAACAAAATAATAATTTTGGCATGATTTATGTAAAGCTGCTCTGGTGCAGAGATACTCAAATGAAAACTCTGAATGTCTCAAAGATAAAAGCAACCCTTTTCTCTACAAAAATTAGTAGGAGTAGATGCAAACATTACATCTATAATTGATATGTGGTTAGATAGTGAACAGAAGAGATCCACATTCAGGTGTCCAACAGAGCATTTACTGCATCTTAGAGCAGACTTTGAATCCCCTGCCCCGTAAACTCCAAAGAGCAGGAAAATGCAAAACAGCTCTAACTGCTGTTGAAGCTTCTTCTAGGGTTTGGTTTTAAGTGTTTGTAAAAGCTCAACTGGTCTCTCTGGTTCAGTTCTTAAAATATAAAAAAGGAACTATGTGTAAAGGCAACTCATACAGAACTAATTTCTGAGGACACAAAAAAGCCCACCYGAAAAATATACTGCCCA